AAAAATAAGCAAATACGAATCCGATAAAAAATGTTAGTCAGAATCGCATATTTTCACCGTTGTAAGTTGGGTCTAAAACCATTGAAAATGAACTCCCTTTAGTACTTAAGTTGATGAATTTCACTTCATTAAACTACGCACATATTCATAATTATTATTAAGTAGGAATGAATCTTAGCTAAGCTACGACACGTTAGTGATTAATTGCTTTTTCTTTTGTTATGCATTGTTTTAATTAGGCACAGACGTGAAAATATGCGATTTTGACTAACATTTTTGATCGGCCTCGTACCTCAGGGTGTATAAAAAAAGGTAATCGAACTTCAGCGTGCTATTATACGTGAATCACTCGGCGTATAAACAATTGGTTTTCATATTTGGAAAGAGCAGGCTTTTAGCTATTGAATGACATGCTTTTCATACCAAGTGCAGAAAAAATAAGTGTATAGTGCTCGAATTTAGAGATTTTCCCTCACACATGCACATACACTTTGATCAATCTGCAAATCTTTAATTTAAAGAAACTTTGATGGTACAGACCCCATTGCACATGGCGTCACAGCGCCGGTGCATCTGGAGGACAAATTAGCAATCTATGCATTATGTAACTTCTGTAAACAAAGCAAATTTTGAAAAACTTTACAATAATTTTGTATTAAAATGGTTAGTTTTTGTGCTGTATGTGGTTGTTGTACCCGAACAGATATTAGAGAGTTTGGCAAATACAAAGGCAACGGCAACAGCAATATGGTCATTAATCCTCAAAGACAAAGGCGAATGTAAATCACATGGTCTTAAGCGTTGTGCAATGCCGTAGTTGTTGAAACAAGTACGTGATTTGCACATTTTCACGGTGCATGAATACGGCAACAATTAATTCGTTCGATGTTATTTGAGGTGTTTTATTTGAATTCGCGGACTATTTTTACTGAAGGGCACGTTTGAAAGAAACATAGCCTGCGAACAGGCTCTCAAGCTGAATTGAGAGCCTGCATCGATGACTAATGAATTTGAATATCTGCGTCTCAAATCGTGACGCGAAATTTTCATTGGTCAGATGCTATAATTTATATGTTTCCGCTGAGCTCTATATATGTTAACTGCCGAAGCACTATGCATAAAAAACACATTAAATGATCAAATTGGTTTTGGCCATCTTATCTCAAAGCACGAAATGATCTGATTTGAGAAAACAGTATTTAAAACATTTGAACTTTTGCTTGAATATCTTATATTTCGAAAAACAGTATAAACTGTACGGTCTAAATTTAGTTTGCACGGTCTAAATTTAGTTTGCACGAAAGTTGTAAACAACACCATATAAGGATAGGCATTCCATATTTGGAAAAACGAACGTTACGGAGCAGATATTCAAATTCATTCGTCATCGATGCAGGCTCTCAATTCAGCTTGAGAGCCTGTTCGCAGGCTAATTGGGGAATGGTCCATTGAACGAATAGCGAATTCTCGCAAAGCAATATAATTGCAAAAGCTAGCACGTGGAACTTCGTGTTAAAAAACGGTGTGGCACGTTACTTGTGAAAAACTGTACTCCACAGGACGATTGGCGAAACTTGTTTGCATCAATAAAAAAATCAACTTTGACTATGATTTTGATTTCTCCACGTATTCCTATAAAAAATAGAAAAGCAACTTCGAATAAACTTCATGGGAGTGGTGAAATATTGCTAAACGTTTTCGTTCCATATATTTGCTATCAAACATATACGGGTCAATACATAGAGAGAAATTTAGTCACTCCGATAACTGCAGGGGTCAAAACTAGGCGTTCGGACGTATGATTGTACACAGAAAACAGCTTGGCGTAAGCCAAAATCAAGGGAAATGTACGATAACGTACACTTATTGCAGCTCCTTTGTGTTTATTTGAAATCCTTCTTACAATCTGATCCAAGTTAATTTTCACTTCGCTAGTTAAAATGTTCACGCTATAGTTATGCCAAAACATTTGGATGACCAAACTCTATTTCAGAGCCATCATCAGGGAAACATGTCTTCGCGTTATACGGCAAACGGCAAACGCCAAGCAAAGAAACATTTTATGGAATCAGGCAATAAAGAGTTTCTGAACTTGCTGTTTTAAAACTGCAATGCATGACAATTCTTTCGACACAAGAAATAAAATATGAAACGAAAACGTTTAACGAAAATTTTGCGAAGAAAGTTCGAACCTGCCGTTTGCCGTTCCCGGAAACGCAAAGCTTCAACTCCCTAATCAAAGATATCTTATATACACTAGATAGTGCATCTCTTTTAGTAAAATTGAAGCCAAGAATATTCCAGCGGTTACCCCCCCATTTGAATAGATGGCGGCCATGTTGGTCGTTCTCACTCGCTAATAAACGCTTAAAAACAACAATAACTTTCATCATTTGAATAGTTTAAAAATGTATTTGGAATACGTTTGATGTTTAAGTTCCCTGTTTAAGAAATAGAAAACATACGAATCTTCTCATTTCATGGGAATATCCTGAGTCTGCAATCACGACTTCAATTTTTAAATTGCAGAATAATTAGATGCACTATCTAGTGTATATAAGATAATTTATCTATGTCCCTAATCGTTGAAGTTTCTAACGTCATTCATAGGTATTTAAAAGAAAACTGATCACTCCCATACAGTAACGGACATTTAGTAATGATTGTAGTTAATATTATTGGAATGCGTGAAACCATGACGAGTCAGCCGACTACAGAAAAGTTATATATCTGCAGATATGATCAATGCATGGAACGCTTTGGACTACATGGACTCTATGTTTTTCCTACAGTAGTCTAGATTATTCCTGGGCAAACTAGGAAACGTTCCAATGTTCGGAAAATTCCAACGTTTCTATAAACCTTGGAAACATTAATGGGAAAAGTAACATAGATATAATGTGTGCACTACTGTACATTACAACAGCGGCACAATCAAGTATCGTTATAACTATATATAGGAGGTGATTTTTCACAATCTTGTATACAATATGAGAGACAATGACGTACATGAGAATATACTGTATTTATCTTACCATGCATTGTGTCATATATTGGAAACCATCCAGCCAATGAGCTAGGAGAATCATAACTCAGCAAGCAGTTCAAGCTTATATTCACCTTAAAGAGAATCAGAAATATGAAGTCAGGAAGTACTGCTTATTTGAGAGAACATGTCATATTATCGGGGTGCGATAATTCACTCTCTTGGTCGTACAGTATATCTGACTGGTACGCCAGATACTTGCACTGCTACTGTACATACTCAACACATACTAAAGTGCATTCGAATACTAGTTAAAGAAAAAGCACAATTGCATACACAAACAATCGATTCCAACATTCCTTAGTGCCATCTTGCCAGAAGTACACATATCATGTAGTACCAGCAAAAAAGGAAGCACACAGATAGCAACAGTCCCGCGTGGTACTTGGCATAAAAACAAAGAAGTACAGTACTAAGTACGCGAATATCGCACCCTGAATTATATAGTTCTTTTTCATAGCAGTCTTAGGTCAAAAAGTAGTATGTTCCTCTACACCGTATTTAATCTTTTAAGCGCCGTCCCTATTATTTCTCATATGAGAGCAAACTTATCAGAGTGCTGTCTTCGAATAAGCGAACGCAGCGACAACGAACAACGGGTACGGACTACGGTTAATTGCTTGTTTTCACATTGTTTTCAGAGAGGAAACTAAAATTTAAATGCTTTTCACCATAGATAATATGACTACCACCTAAAAATCATAAGGTATTCTTGTGTTGCAAAGTTTACATCAAGAACGCAGCACCGAAATTGACTACGCAACGTTTGCATGTCCGAGAGTAGTTTTGTAAAGAACTGGTGAGTTTTAAACTTCCGGAACACAAAGCTAGACACATAATTACTAATTATGTAGGTTAAATTTTTGATGGTATACATTGAGTATTTGCATACATATAAAAATAAATATTTCAAACGTAGTCGGTTGTTCGTCGTCACGATCTTCTTAAGCATGAAGCAAGTGAACGCGACGGCAAACAAACTCGTTAAACCAAATGATTGCAGAAGATATCCCTCGTATGTATGAAAAATAACACAGTTTAAAGATTGAGGTTTTATTAACACAGGATTAATTACAGTATTAAGAAAAGTTCTAGGACCCAATTGAAAGTAGCAGTTGTCCATGCTTGAAAGGTAACCATTATATACAAGACGTAATAATCCGTATTTTGCCGTTGTACACGGAGCAACGACGACATCTAAAACTCCCGTTGGATTTTTATTTTTAATTTCTGCTCATTTTCTTGTATTAATATGATATTAATGATAGCCGTCCTTGTTGCACTTTCACCTGTTTGTTGAAGTTTTTGACAACAGTAGTTCTTTATGATTTTAAAAGTGTAAAATTTAAGGTTGTTTCTTCTCATGTCCCCGTACTACATTAAGCCTTGTTTAAGTTCGCTAAAGCCTGGCGCACACGATGCGATTTTAGTCGGCCGATAAAAATCGTTTGACATACCGATATACATCGGTATACTCCGCACACGATTACGAAAAAAATATGCTCCCTGAACTGTAGCCGCCATGTTGCCAAATAAATACAAGCACGTGATCACAGCATGAAATCTGATTGGTTATACTGTACTTAAAATTCCACCGATAAAAATCGTATAATATCAAAACGTTTTGATGTTGTCCGATTAAAATCGAGCAACAAAAATCGGTTAAAAATGACACCGCGCACACAACGATTTTGTTAGTTTTAGTCAAACGATTTTTATCGGCCGACTAAAATCGCATCGTGTGCGCCAGGCTTAATGTTTTGTTTTGCCATGCCACGTCATTTGTAATTGCAAAGCTTTCGACGGTAAGTGCTAATATATCAAACGCATCTGATTGGTTAATGGTCACTTAACGGTAACCGCAGTGGAAGTCAAATCTGAACCTCTCTATTAATTTAATAGTGACAATATACCTTGCCTATAGCGTCATGCGCAGTATACGTGTCGTAATCCTTCACCCGAAGCTGTAAGGTCTCCTCTTGGAGTTCCTCGTCATCAACCTAACAAAATGAAAACAGAAAAGCAAGATTTATGTTTCAGAAAAGAAGCCTCGTAAATACTAGAATAGAAGGGTGGAGCTTATACAGGGTTAAGACATGATTACCACCACTCATCTCCAAGTAAGTAAAGTAAAACAAAATCATACCCAAGTTTAAGAATTTTTTATCACTGCACATTTTTATGCAAAGTTTAGCTGAGCAGAAGCACACCCTGAAAATGTCTGGACACACCCTTATATTAATGTGTACAGTAACCACAAAACAGGCACTACAATTGATATTCAAAAATTCAAAAAGGCAAAATGTGACTTGGGGTTCTATCTTCTAACACTATAGTGCGCATCCCCACCCCTCGCACCCCAGTAAATCCGTCCCTGGTAAATTTTAGTTCTCTCTATGCTTCAAACTACTAAATTCTTGATGCAAAAATGTTTCTGATGTAGCATTGCAGATTAATATTGAATTGAATTGAATTTATTTGCCACGCGATAATTATTTTCATTGCACACAAGAAAAATATAGTGGCGAGGTGACCTCAAAAAAACCGTTGAGCTTATGAGTCGAAGTCACCTCATTATATAATAATAATAGTTTACTATAGGCCTTATATGGTAGTATTAAATATCACACAAAAAAAAATCATTTTATGCAAAAAAAATATATAAGGGTTTTAGAGATTATTTTCTATAAGAAATTTCATCATTTTTTTCTTAAAAGTAAATAAGCTACCCGAGTTTCTTATATCAGACGATAGTGAATTCCATATTATAGGGCCACGATAAAGTATAGTAATTTTTTTTAGATTCGTACGACAAGCGTGAGGCCGATAATTATTTGCTGATCTGGTATTGTAACTATGTATCTGACTGTTACATTGGAACAGATCATGGAATACAGGTGGTAAAATTTCATTATGATAACAAAACATGAATCTGGCAATGTACAGTGAATTAACTGGAAAATGTTTAATAAAATGCCTAATTTCATAAATAGAGGTGCTGTATGCGCACGGAAATCAGAATTTGTAATATATTCTATTCAATTTTGTAACATAGGTGGACGACCATACCATGTTGCAATATGTAATGAAGGGATAAACCAGTGTGTAATACAATGACAATTTAGTTTTACAAGATAAATAAAAACGGGACTTATGTATAATACCAATGGATTTTGAATTTTTTTTAGAAACATGATTAATGTGATCTTTCCAGGTGAGGTTTTGGTCAATATACACACCTAAAAACTTAATAGAGTTAACTTGGTGTAATATCTCATTTTCATAGTGAAGCAGAAAGTTATGGTTGATCTTTTTCTTACTAGTTTTGAAAATAGCGTACCTGGGTTTTTTCACGTTAACAGAAAGCTTGTTACTTTTCAGCCAAAGATCAAAATTATGCAATTCATTATTTATTACATACTGTAAATGGTTAGGGTCGGAATGCGAGTAAAAAACACTCGTGTCATCTGCGAAAATCAAGGACTCTGTCAGATTTGAGGCATTTGAAATATCATTAATGACCTAAAATGGATCCCTGAGGAACTCCACATTTAATTGTCTGATAGGATGAAAAATTTCTTTATATTGTACATATTGTTTACGGCAATAAAAATAACTACTGATCCACTGTAGGGCTTGCCCACGGATACCATAGTGGTCCAATTTGGCTAACAAGATATCATGATCAATAGTGTCAAAAGCTTTAGCAAGGTCAAGAAATACACCAACTGTAATTTCTTTGCGATCAATAGCGGAGGTAATTTTATTGACTAAATGAGTAATAGCTAATGAGGTGGAATGCTTTTCCCGAAATCCAAACTGACTAGAGTAGAGTATGTCATGTTTTTCAATGAATTCCAGTGAACGATTATACATGACTTTTTCAAAAAAATTAGAGAAGTTAGCTAGAAGGGAAATAACAATATGATACCCAATTGAACAAATAAAATGAAACAAAGGGTTGAAAATAACAGCAATTCCCGAGCATGATGGGATTTGTTTATGTTATTAAAATTCAGAACTTAGTTGATCTTTGAACTCAGGCAATCAGAATCTAATGAGTTTAACTGTGACCAATCAGAATCAACCACCCAGATCTGGCTAGCGTAGCTGGGGGTCAACAACCAATGCCACAAATTTTCACAGACTGTACAGTATGTAACAACTTATTTTTCACATTGCTCGTTTCCTTTGTTCTTATCGGAGAATATATTCAATATTCCCTCTAATAATCCCCTCTACTATTCACCTGTAATGTCTTTGCAGCACAAATTAAAAAATGAGAAAAAACAACATAACGAAGGCAATATGGCATTAAGAATTATTTCTATTCTGACTCATTAACGCGACCTCGCAATGTGAAAAATAAGTACGTTATTTTGAGGCACCTCAGGTATATGTGTTTATTCACCCCGGCGCTGCGCGCCCTGGTGGATAAATCACATATCCCCTTGTTGCCTCAAAATAACCTACATACCGGGTGGCCCAAAAAAAAGTACTCCTGTTTGATTCGTAATAACATCTAAACAAGTATAGCTTTTAAAGAGAAATAACTTGCATCAAATAGAGGAAGGACTAACTTAGACTTTGATACATTACAGTTGTATTTCACTTAAAAATTCACGGAGATATTAATCTTTAAATTCGGGAGGATATTTCTGGATGTGTCTGAAATATGCAAAAATCGGCGTATCAAATATTAATCAAGATTTGCCCGACTGAAACATGCACTATTACCATAAATAAATGACACTTGACAAATTGTTTATTATGAAACAAAGTATTATTATATCTACAAAATACAAGCAAGATTCATTCGTCCGAAATTCGCGTGTGTTCCTAGCACGAATACGTTTCCTTATTTCATGAGACCACTGCATCGCGGAGGATCGTCATTGGATCGTTCGTAGTTCTGAATTAGGGCATGCTGTCACAACGGAATTGTGAAGCTCTTCTAACTTCTGCAACGTTCTGAAATCTTGTTAAGAACACCTAAACTCTTTTGCCGTTTCTTAATCTTGGCAAGTTCATGGAGTAAACTGAGAATTATATGAAACACAATCAAACCATACAACTCCATAAGACATAACAATTAAGCAACTCCCCAGAGACATGCAACATTTTTGGAACAAAACGTAACAAAATAGTAGCGTTGATACGGTGATGTGTATTTGCAAAAAGTAATATTATTTCCTTCAATAAAGAATATTCATCCTGCTCTAACCGAGAAATAATCTACTCAGTCTGTTTGAACCCATTAAAAACATAAAAAAATTAGGCTATTTAAG